GAATAAATTAGTGGAATGAAAAGCGTTCGTTGATCCCTGTGGGATTTAGACTGCCGGTTTGAAAGATGAGCTTTTGTTCAAGATTTTTACGGCTTTCCGTGCTACCTAAGTGTAAGGAAAGACCGCAGATTGCCATATGTTGCTTAGAATGATTAGGTAAATTAAAATGTCTAGCGACTGGTTTCGATGTGTCCTTGTCATTCCTTTCCACGTCTCGAAGGTGTTCTCGGAATCGGTCACCTAGTCTTCTGCCTGTTTCGCCGATGTATATCTTTTTGCAATAAGTGCAAGTTATGCAATAGATTACATTGGCGGAGGTGCACGTGAAGTGATCGGTGATCTTAATGGATCGTTTCGCTCCGACGAAGGGCTAACGCTCGAAACGTCAGCTTTTGTAATCATTACGGTGGCTAATTTACCATTTCAACTTTGTTGATATATCCAAATTATTTCGTTACTGCCACCGACGCAGCCCCAAACAGTTTCTTTCGAAACTATCAGCCTTTATTCAGTTTTAATTTAGTTAATTAATGCCATAAAAGATGCATTTTACAATAAAATTGTATGATACTCTAGAACTTCCATGGCTTTTTCTTTTTTTGTGACTCAGTCACGACATTTCAAGCGAGAGATCGAAGCTAATTTGATCTAAATCCGTTGCCATGACAACTAAAAAAATTAAAAACAAAAACAAAAACCATCAACAACAACAACAACGCTGACCTCAGTTTGAAGTGAATAAGTAATTATATTTTAGAATAATCCATCCCGGCTTTATATTCTTAATTGCTTTTTCCTTCAAGCAAATAGGTATTTTCAAAGTTTCGGTAACCTTTTATAAATGCACATGCAGGAAAGTTAAGGTGATTCTGATCTTTGTTACGGACAGATATTTTTTGCATTAATCAAGTCACCCCGGGCCCCCTCAAACGACAATCCTCACAATTTAGCTGCAATTTAAGCTAATGCAGGAAACAAGCCTAAAAAACAATTCTGTCTTCGACGGGATTCAAACTTGCGCCTCCCAGCTTTACTAAATGGGCGCTTGACGAAGGCACCCATCATGCGCGGGGCACATCCACATATTTTTCGTTTGTTCGTTCTTTTTCAGCTGTTCATACACATCTATCGGGAAATTTTGTGGCAATACAAAGCCAAGTGCTGTTATCTCCCCAGACAGGTGTCTTCGAGTCGTGTTCCATTCGGATGACGCCGTAACAGGCCGTGGATTTGAAGCCAGACTTATTGTTGCAGCGAGACCCAGAGGTTTGGTGTACTTTTACAATCACAGGTAATCTTTGATGAATGTGTTGTGGGGTTAAGACCCACTGGCTTGGTTCGCTTTATCTATTTTCAGCGAATTCGCATCCTTCCTCAACGTCAATTTACATTTTCTTCACAATATAATTGACCAAATATCTAGAATAATGAATATTTCCTCCTCTAAGAGTCGCATCTCTCTTTTGTCCAGTGACCAAGCGGCCTCTGTCAGTTTACCTTTTGTTTCCACCTTTGCTTAAGGAACTCGACAGTGGTAACTCCATGTTATTCATCTTTCTTGTTCTTCAAGTCCTGTACATTGTTTAGGAGCTACGTGCTCAGAATTTTCGTATTCAGAGAGAGTTTGACTGACGTTTAAAATCTCCATTCTTTTTCGTTTTGCCTGTAGGGATGAATACTTGTTTTACACTTAGTTTGCATTGTTTCGTTATCCTTTCACACGATCTAACTTTCAAGCGTTTTTGCTAGATTTTGCCTCCCCTACTCTACCGGATACACATAGAGTTGATATCTGGCCGCGTTTATCGGCCAGCTAAGCCACCGTACCGTTTATTTAACACCAAATTGATTTGTTTACCTAAGTCTATTGGATTGAAGAAAACTTAATGCACCAAAGCCAGACACGAAAAATCCTTAAACCAGTGGGTGGAAAAGATTGGGGAACGTGTACCCCTAACCAAAGCAGTGGCGCCACCTTCGGGGTTTTAGGGTATCTTATGAATGACATACCCAGTTATTTAAGGAAGTGTGCAAGTACAGCTGTAAGTAAAACATGATGCGAACATGACAATATTTCAGAAAAAAATAAATGATTAAATAATTTTAAACGAAATCGAAACCTTTTAGTCTCTTGTACGGAACTTATAGACCACACGGAATCCGCATTGCAACGCTACCTTTATTCTCTCGCACACAGGAAGTTTTGATTGGGGGGG